AGTTTCTATGGATGAATATATGTATATATTTTTAAATAATAATAGTTTGATTAAATCCCATAAACACAATTTCTAAAAAAAATTTGTTAAAAAAGTGTTATCTTGTGTAAAAAAACTGAAACTTATCTTTAAAAATCACTCATTTTTCGGCCTATTTAAAGATGTATAATTTTCCTTAATTTTTCAAACTCATTTTTTATATTAAAATATTGCCAGATTTTGTATGGGCAGTCAAATTAAATCGTTTAGGTTTGGAATTGATCGGTTTATGGCCCAGAAGCGATGAAATTGCTAACAATAAGCTCGCTTCCGATCTTCGCGTGGCCATTATTTTCGTTATAGTGACGTTTATCTCTGGTATTCCCCTCGTATGTTCTCTTATACGAGTCTGGGGCGATATGATACTTATGATAGACAATATCCAAGTTACTTTACCTTTATTAGTGGTCTCGTTGAAACTTGTCGTCATGCGGTGGAAACGGACAGGTATGTGCAGCCAGAATTACTCCTAAATATATTACGATAATATCAAAATTACTTTTTTTAATTCGTATTCACTAGAAAAAATATATGAAGAAAAACGTTCATAAAATATGATACTTATTCAATGTTTTATAAAACAAGGAATAAAATGTATTACAATTTTGTAAATAATTACTGTATTTTGCACAAAGCAATTTTATCCATCGTGAACATGATGGCTGAAGACTGGACGGAATTAAAAACGGTAAAGGAAAGGGACGTGATGATAGGAAGAGCGCAAACCGCTCGGGCGATTGTCATCAGCGGATATGTTCTGATGGTGTTGGCGTTCGTCGTAGTCGCTGTTCTTCCGTATTTCGGCTTGTTGTTGACGAGGCACTTGACGAACCTCACGGATCCGGGCAAGCCGTTGCCGTTGCAGACTTATTATTTTTACGATACAGATCCGAGTCCACAATTCGAGCTGACGTACGTCATTCAAGCCATCACCATCTTCCTGGCCGCTGTTACTTATACGTCGGTGGACGCTTTTCTTGGACTCACGATTCTTCACTTTTGCGGCCAGTTAGAGAACTTCAAAGGTCGCATAACTATTTTGGCTTCGTGCCAGAATTTCATCCGTATTCTAAGAAACAATGTGGTAAATCATCTGCGGCTCATTAGGTATCTGCAAATATCAATCAATAATATAATTAGAAGAAACAAAATCCAGGAAAGTCTTTTTTTTGAAAGATATTATTTTATTAAATTGTTCATAATTAGTCTAATATGGGGCGATATATAGAAATCGCTGACTGATAATCGACAGATTCCAAGTTCGAATCTTATCCCCCATATATTTCTTAAGAGATTGACAAAAGAATATATACGTTATTCTTAGTAATAATAAGTATTACATAATAATATTATAATAATTGAAAAAATATTGCAAATATTTTTGGCATTTATTTTAAAGAGATTATGTGGAAAAAACAATTGTACAATTATTTTGAAAAAAAATGTATTTTAAGTAACTAATAATTTAATGTGTTAATGTGTGTATAAAAAAA